CAAAAAGCTGAAACACTGACATTATTTTTTCATGCATGCCCTTTCCTGTGAAAATCTTAATAAGACTGTCTAGAGAAACTGAGTTTCTCAAGATCTATTTGAAATAAGGTACACCCATAGTTCATCTCACCCAAAACTAAAGGCAAAGCCTTTTTAGCATTTCTATAGCTTTACTGTTTCACAACACTTTGCCCTCCCATTATAAGCTATTCCATCATATAGATGGAATAACTGAGATAGATGGACTAAGTAATTGTTTCAAACTCCCAAAAGAGAAACAGCTATTAGAAAATGAGCAGTTTTTTGCTTCCAGTTCTGTGCTCTGTCCAGTAGATTACAGTACTCTTTCAGAGATTACAAAATAAAAGGATAATGTATTCACACAATCTGCTGCATTCAAGGGAACTACTGAGTTCAATTCTGGTCAATACATCTCAAAGACAGAGCCGCAAGGGGGAAAGGGCCCAAAGACAAACAAGTAGAATGAGAAACCCGGAAAAAAAATCATTCACACAAGCAGAGGCTGAAAAGGTGAGGACTGCTCAGCTTAATGGGAAGGTAAAAGAGGGAACAGAAGTCTACAGATAATGAATAATGAAGAGAATTCCTTTTCTCTCTTTCACATAAAGGATATTAAATGAAAAAAAGTATTTGAAAGCGGTAACAGAGAATTTACAGAGTATGTAAGTTAACCTGTGGCACACACTGCCACATGATATTGGAGGCAAAGAGCTAAACAAGGCTTCAGGAAAAATGCCTGAGACACATCGAAGAACAATGGCAGTAATCCAACTTCCATTACAGTGAACAAAAACACTGAATGAAAATAAACTCTTTTGCAGCAGGGCATGTGTCAGCCTCCGACTGACAACACTTAGGAAGACTCTTCTCAAAGTTGTTCTCCAAAAGTTTTTTTTTTGTTGTTTCAGTGAGGGGTTTTTTGCATCTTCCTTCAATGTCTTTGCAAGCTGACCACTGTCAGAAGAAACAGGACAGTCTCCATGTCTGATTCAGTGCAGAGGCTACTACGTTGTAAGGAGTACATAACACAATTATTCTGAGCATCCTACCGGGAAGGTACTGCGTTCTCAACATCAACAGTTCAAAACATCCTTCAACAGCAAATCTCTAAGTCTCCTACTGCTGAATTCGGTTATCGTGCAGAAGTGGAGACAAAGCCAACCAGGGGTTATAGGCAGGCACAGCAGGGGAGGAGGGGGGGAATTCCTGACAGCCTGGTCCTTAGAAGGAGAAATTTCAGCTTTCTACCTCCACACCGAGCCATCGCATCCAGTCACTCCCAGCCCAACACCCCCGAGCTACCAGTGACCACGCTCCAGGTGACCACCTTCTCTGACAACAGCGGAGAAAGCAAACTTCTATTTCAGAGCTCCTCCCCACCTCATCCCCTTACCGACAAGCTTTCCTTCTAATGTATACACACACACATACACACAGACGTACAAAAATATATCTAAGCCTGAGTTGGAAGGTTTTAGCACAGTGGAAGGAAAAAATAAATAAATAAATGTCAAGGCCTGCGTGTATTCAACAAATAAAAGCAGAATTATATAAAAGCAACAGCTAATAAAAAAGATTGTTCTGTGCTGTGTTTTCCATCTTTCCAACCATTATAGGAATAAAATTATCCACAGAGAAGATCGAAAACCTTTTTCAAAACTAATACAATTAAGCTTTATTACACTGTTTCGAGTACATTTCTCTCCTCTCCCTTCTAGCCCCCCCCACCTCCCACTCCAATCCAGACTAACGGTTGGAGGCATTCTTCTGTTTTATTACCAGCAAAATGCTAGTGTTCAAGGGTCAGAAACTATCTAGTGTTTCAAGAGAGGAAAGAAAACCTGTCCTTTTTATCTACTTGCTTTAGTACACGTAACAACGAGAAGACAGTTTCCATGCAGCTCTGCAGTTTGAATAGGACTATGGGCAAGCCACCGTACTCCCCTGAGAAGACGCCGCACTAAAATATCCACCACCTTGTTTAAAAAGTTACCCTGCCGCAAGGGACACGGACCTGAAAAGGGAAACACAAAATCCAACAAAAGACTTCAAAGAGAGGACAATGCAGCCCGGACACAAGCTTCTCCCCACTCCACTGTCCACAAAGGACAGGCACACATACAGATTTTCCCTGCGGTTTCCGCTTCATGAAACCAGATCCAGAGAGAAGAATATAATAGAAGCACACAGCATGAGACCAAGAAATTGCAAAAAATTCCCTTTGCGTATGAACATATGGACAACTGTGATAATTAGAACGATGGCTGCTAGATTGTTTGCAATTTCACTGAACAATCCCCATTATCTAGAAATAGAATTTAAAAATCTGAATGCAACACTGAGTGGTAGTTTTAATAGTTTATTTTTTTAATGAACTGTATGGATTAAAGCGTTGCAAAATTGTATCATGTGAAATTGCTCATGGGCATGTTTTACCATCAGTGGCTTAAAAAAATGCTGCATGGACAATCGTGCAGTAGCAGGGAATGAGAAGGGGAATAGATGTGCCGATAGTATCCCACCATTTCTATAATCTGCAATTTTCCCATGTTCCATATTCACCATCATGCTACACGTTGGTAGTAAGGCTGATTGATTCCTCTGTCTCTGTACAGCCCACCTTTTTCATTGTTTGCATTTCTTTTTAGTCACATAACACAACTACGAGTCGGATGTACGCAACTCCCTGTCAGGAGGTCTAATTGGTTCAAATTGGAGAAGATTATTCTCCACATTTATTAAAAAATAAAGACTACTTATAACATTATTTCATTTTGCCAGGAAGTGAAAAACGCATTAGTTCATAAGGAACAGCATGGCTGCTCCTATTTTTATGGCATCAATTTTTAAAAACTCATCATGGTAAACAATTAAACAGAGAAGCAAATCCCACGTTTAGGGGAGAGATTCAAATCCCTAAATGGATTTTTCAAAGGTCATTTCAGGCTTAAAAGATGCTTGACAGTCTCTCTTTAAATCATGTTCATTTCAAAGGCTTATCCAGCAAGAAGCAGGCAGTGCACTCCAGCACCACTCTGTGAACTATCAGGCTCCCCAGAGAAAAATTAATAATACAACTTTAATTCATATTTATAGCAAGATTTGTGGTGTTTTTTGTTTTTTTTTTTTTTTTTTTTTTTTAATTTAGGAAAGGATTTTTAACAAAAGAATAAAAAAAGAGGCCACTTTTTTTTTCAATTTAGCTTTCACCTAAACCCCATGGTAAAACAGAAAATGAAGTTTGAACTACTAGAAATCTTTTTTTAAAAATCATCCAGTTAAAACCCCCCTTATCTTTCAAATGCAAGTTGCTCAAAAGATTTAGTTTGTACAGCTTTTTCATCAGTTAACCATGTAAGGGTGGGGGGCAGATAGATACCGGGAGCTGACAGTCCCAGGTTTCAGCACAACGCTTCTTGTTTCTCTGCTCTTTGGATCCACACAGATCTGCATCCGATCCCATTAGTATGCAGAGGCCCCAAATAAAAGACACCTTAGCCTTACCTTCCTCTCAATGCGGCCCAACTGCTCTTTATAGAAGGCTTCTTGCCGCTTCAACTCTGCCTCCCTGCCTCGCAGCTCCACGGCCTGGGAAGAAGAACAAAAGAGCATCAGTAGACGAAGAAATTAAAAAAAAAAGTGCGAGTGCAAGGAAAGCACCTGGGATGCAGACTGGAAGGGACTAAAAAAAAAAAATCATTGCTCAGGACTGGTGTATGGGATCCCTCTCAGCAGAACCACAAACCTTCCATATTGCAGTTCATTTTGGATTATCCCCACCAGTTTGAAACACTTACTAGTATCATACTCAAACTCATAACCTTGATTTTATTTCTCCTTATTAAATGAAAACATATAATCATAGAAAGGTGACAGCTTCCTACTGCCTTGTTCAGAACGCCACCTTATCCAAGTCTGTTTTTCATGAATCATGATGTTTATTACTCCATTTCAATTTTCTTCACCTTACCTTAAAAATAAATCTCCAGTCCTCCACTTCATAAAACACTTGCCCGTTGGAGTGTCAGAAAACTTCCCTAGATTTAACATATCACTACAATCATGAAGAAAATCCAAAATACAAGGCAATGTTGTAACATCTTTATAGCAACACACATTCTCACTGACCACGCATTTGCTTCTGCAGACATACATAGGACTACCCAGGTAATTTGGTACTCTCTCCAGAAGCGCTCTGTGCCTACACCACCGGCACCCCCAGGGCCCCTCTGCCTGGCTGTTGCAGATTTGGAGAGGAGATGGGTGTCAGAATTTCTCTTCCATCTTCCGAAGTATAAGTGTGACACTTCCAAAGCAGCAAACTTGGTATGCAAGCACATGCTTAAGCATAACCTGGGCATCAACTAGTGCTCAATTAAAAAAAAAAAAAAAAACAAAACCCAAAAAACCACTCTGTGTGGTTACAGCAACAGATTTTTGCCTTTTAGCTCCTTACAGCCAGCAGCACTTCATTGCATCCCCACCCCTAAACTGAACTAGCATTAAGAAAACATGGCATTGATGGAACTGAACCAAACTTTTTCAGTTTAAAAATAATAAGCAACAATAGCAAGAAGAACGGCACTTGTGTTTCTTCCCCCATCCTGCCCCAAAACCCTCTGGGGTCACATAAGTTATCACCAGGCATAAGACCTTTCAAAACCAGAATTATTAGTCTGTTTAACATGAACACAAACCCTGCTAATCTATAGCATCCCATCAGCATTGCTCTTAACTTTTAATGATGATGGTACAATCACAGAAAATGCTGGTCCAATATGATTAAGCAGCTGGGACAGAAACATCCCCGTGGGCTCAAACCTGTCATTTTACGGCCAACAGCCATTGTTAATGAGAAAAATTACATCTGAAAGCAAGTTGCTGTGCATTTCCTTCTTTCTGCTCCCCTGCTGATGGAAATACAGTGGTATAATAGGGCTTAGAAGAGATTTTAAGCTAGGTAGGGAGAGACGGTTGATAAGTAAGCAAGAAAATGAGTACATGAAATAGGGGGGTTGTAGGGGTGTGCTGATGGCCTTGTCTGTTTGTTTGCTTTTAAAGGAAAAGGAAATATTTTGGTTCCCGTGTTTGTCATCCCAGCCAGCAGGGCCACAGTAAGGCACAAGCACTATAGACTCGTATCTAAATCCTGTTGCTCTCAAAGACGCTCGATTAAAGGCAAAATCTCTGGCTCTGGTTTAACCAGAGCTGCTATATATCTTCCAGCCTGCAAACCAGCTGAACTAGGATGGGGAGAGGGATGAGCATGAGCTGCCCCATACGTGCAGCCTGACCAAAGAGATACCACAGCAACAGCAGGGGCACTGATGGGCACTTTGTGAGTGCCAAAATTATTACCATTTTCTGATAGGAGAACCATCGCTATCCTTCTGAACCAATATCCATCTTCTATACAGAAAAGGACTAAGCAATTTCGACTGAAATGAAACAGATGTAAGAAGGCAGGGTGGTCTGGTGGATGACGAAAGGACCCTGATTCTCCTGCTGATTTTCTGCATAACACCCATAAAATCAGATTATTAAAACAAGTGACTTGTATTTCCTTAAGGAGAAATAAATAAGGAAAAGAAAGAAGAGTAACATAGTACCGACCCCTCTGCACAATTCAGATGGAAGGTGCTTTTCATGTGAAGTGTAATACAAGGAGGAGGGAAAAAAAAAAAGTCCAAAGATGAACTCTTAAAAACACAGGAAAATTTCTGCTTAATCTAAATAAATTAATCATGTGGCAGTGCTACTCTCCTGGGGTAGCAGACTATTCTGGGAGCACAAAACCAATATGTGTAACAATACTGGTGGGCAAGAGGCTTTATTCTGTTTCTAACAAGACATGGATCCATGTACCCACACACCCACTCATCTTTTCAACCTATGAGCTTGCCTGACCTCATTCCCCAAGAAATTCAGCATATTTATCCATATGACAGCTCTGGAAGGGAACACAAACCAAATACCTAATCTCTCAAGTAGGGTGCTGAGATGCAGACACATTAGAGGTGTGCTGATCTGCATGACGATGACCCATGGACTCCCAAGCAGACCTGACTGGAGCTGGGATGCCCACAGCGAATAATGCCTCCGCACCAACGCGCCCTGCAGCAGACAGACATTCTGTTAGTGACTTCCCTAGGCTCTTTCAAAATTGATATCAAAGAATCAAAACCAGATCTCCCAACTGCAGACTACGACCTCAGCATGCTCACCATTCTTCCCCCTAAGTAATTTCTCCCATTATGTCCCACTTATTGTCCATAAGTTGTATGAGGAGCTTGCAAAGAAAACTTTTACTCGCAACTCAAAACCTTTTCAGTGCCTTGCTTGTTTTCAAGAGCTGTGGATGTTTCAGTGCATTGAAGTATACTGAGAAACATTCTATTTGTGACAGATCTGCTTGAAAGTTGCTTTCTGTTTCCCTCTATCCCCAGCTGTTATTACTAGAAAATTTAGTACACTTTACGATGATGTTTGAAGTATGAATGGTACAGTCAGAGCATGTGTCATTTGAAATACTCACTGTTCCAAACTGAGTTAGGCAACAAGGGACATTTTGTATGAATACAGGATGTTTATTAAGAGTTCCTCTAGTCCTGCTGCTTATTCCCTACCTGAAGTCAGAAGCCTGTGATGTCCCAGACAGAACTGGCTGCTATGGAGATGATTACAATTTCACAGGGAATTGAGATTGCAGGTGCCAAACAAAGCATCAGATACACTTTTCACAAACGCCTTTAGAACTAAAGAAGGAAGGAAAAGGGAAGACACACGTGATAACATATGGGTTTGAGAATCATGTATCAGAAAGTGGCATTTCACATCCACGCTGCAGAAGCTACATCTGAGCTTGAACATATCATTCAAGAGATGACCAAAGCCCAGAGATGACACCTAAGAAACTGCAGTGTAGAACACAGCAGAGTGTGATGTCCAAGGAGTATGAAGACAGAAACAAAAGAGAGGGAGGGAAGAAAGAGGGTAGTTAGTTGTAGCATACACAAATGCACCCAAAACTTAGAAAAGTAGCATGGGACAGCACGTATTTGCAAAAGAGAATGTATGCAATAGGCAATTGCCCTCTGTACAAAAACTAGGTATAAGATATATTCAGGAAATGCTCCACAATTCCCTGTGATGGTGTCAGAAGTTACAAGCACTGCATTCTCACAAAAGGACAGTGAAGGTATACTACTAGCACGCTACTACAGCTTCCATGGGCATGAATCGGTTGGGGCCTCTTTCAAATTCTTCCTCCGTTTTATCTTTACGCTTTTTCCACAGCCCAAAGTTTTTTGGGTTATCTCAGTGCTGCTTTGAATGGTGACAAAGAGCCAGGGCAGAGTCATGTGCGATTCCCTGCCTCCTCCTCCTCTCCCTTTATCAAGTCACCCATTTAGAAACAAACTGTGAAAGCACATTTCTAAAGCTATGCATTCATACTGGCTCAACTAAAGAATTCAAGCACCAGCCTGCTAGCTGACAAGCAGGCCAGAAGAAATATATTACAAGCCTCTTAATTGAGGTAATGAAATATTATTGGTTTATTCCCTATGAACGAACCAGACACTCTCAGCCTCGTCCTGAACTGACACCAACGTGCAACACATCAGACTGTGCAACCGATCTTCTAGAGCCGGGCTTCGCTCTAGCTACATCCATTCACAGATTAGCTTTGGCTTTGCCCATCACAAAATATCACCAGATTTTTATTATTTTTAATAACAGTCCCTTCTCATCACCTTGTTAAACATGAGAACTAGGAAGGAAATCTGCTTTAAAAAAAAAGGGCTTATTGGCAGGGTCAGATTACAGTAGGGAAATGTAGCACCCAGGAATAAAGTGCAGCAATAGCACAGCCCACAGCTGACTGCTACCATCAGGCTGTCTCTCTGCAATACTGTTGGGATTCTGAGATTTGGGGAGAGGGCATGGAGAAGACTCTTCAGAAGGAAAAAAACCCACCCTCACTCTGCAAAGGGCAAGCCGAGCTAGAAGGAAAGGTCCATACCTCAATCTATAAAGAACTTCCTCAAAGGCAAGTCACAGCACTTGGCAAGATTATTGCAAAAATATTTATCTTCTTGGCAAAACACATTCACCAGTCACAGACGAACTAGTGAGATGACGCCTAGAGAATCAGTCGGAGGCAATCCAGGGAAAGAAGCTACAAGGATAAAGGAAAGGTCCTTAAGTCTCTACCAAATGCCTTGTTTCTACATCGTCTGGTCTTTGCTGAGAGGAGCTATCAGCTTCCCCCCAAGGTATCCAGTAACATCTCTGCAGCAGCACAGCAGCGATGTGTTGGCTGGGTACCTCAGCTTGCCACACTTCACAACTGCAAATTCTTATACCTCATGCTTTCCCATGTCTCTTCCAGTCCTGGTAGCAGTCCAGGTGGCAGGGGAGAAAAAACAAATGCTATTAAAGGCTCCAAGACTAGAAGAAGGAATTGACAGCAATGCACTGAAGAACAGAACTAGCTCCAAAATTAGCTAGCTGGCATGTTCCTGACCAAGCCCAGGGCTACACTGAAACAGCAAGAGGCAGCCTGCGCACGTCACGCCCGAGACCGA